GTCCATTGGAGGCTTTACCCTGACAGCTTGGTCACGCCATTTGACAGCATATTCGCGGAAGCTTTCCGTGATTTTCTTTTTCAAATTAGACAAAGAGTTTTTGTTGGGAGCGATGTCCACATTATACTAGAACTGGCGAACAAAATCTCGGGCCATATCATCCCACATGTGACAATGGGTAATTTCTTGATCCGTATACCACTCAGAAGCGATTCCGGTGAGACTTTCCCCAAAATAGGCCATTAGCAGCTCCTCTTTTCCACCAGCACCCCTCAATTGGTTACAGTATCGTTTTAGATGAGCAACCGGGTCTCCGTGCCCGCTGTACTTTTCAAATTTTAGCATCTTGAAGCCAACTGGCAAGTGGATATGGGGAAACATACAGAGGTCGGAGTATGAGACACTTTTTTGACCACTCAGACCTTGCATGTTTTTCAGGCTTTGTTCCAGGCTCTTCATTTTTCGAGCCATTTCCTCTTGCTCGGGATTTTTAAAAATCGTTTCTTGCTCCCCCGAGAGATCATATTGCGGAGGTTGAACGAAAGAGTATGGGGTCACATATGTTATTTCTGGTTGAAGCCGTGGACCCTGAAAGATGAACGTTGGAGGCAGTGCCCTTGAAGCTGGTGCCTGGGGGCGAACCACAGAAGGCATGCTAGGATCATTGGAGGGCATTGGAGGGTGCCCGCATGGGATGAGCGGGTTGGGCACATGGGCGTTGGTAACCTCACCTGACCTGAGGATCAACTCAAGGAACCCATTGCACTTGGCGGTTCCCTACCATTAGACCAGGCGTCCCACATTTCCAATATGCGGAGACGCAACATCTTATTGTCTTCAGCAACTGCTGATTCTAGCTGCAGAATAGCCGATGGCGGGCTATCATCAGGACCGATGATTGGTAAATTGCTTGCGGAGGCCATATGTGCCTTTGGATCTTGTGAAGGAGGGGAGGCTAGACTACCAACAAAACCAACCACCAAAACCTGGCTAATATGCACATCCAACAACCTTGTTAGTTCTGAAACATTTAACATATAGGACACACGCTATCGCTGTAGCAATTTAATAAACCAACTAGACAAACATAATCAGAAATAGATTAAAAAAAGAAACAAGACAGAAACTAATTCTAACCCAAAAAATCAGAAAATTAATAACGGGGCAGGATTACGATTTTACCATATACTCTCAAGTATTTCCTCACTACCTCACTTTAATCAATACAAAGCTACTTTACTACTTCAACAAGTGCAAAAACAGAAAATTTAACATTTTAAACTTCAAAAACTAATGCTAAAATAATTAATAATAGAAAAAATAAAATCTAAAAAATAAAACAAAATAAAAAATCACCCATGAAAAGAATAGGATTTTTACCATTCTACAATTCAAGTGGCCGAAAAAATGGTGGTATGCCAAAAGAGGGTGTTCGGGGAGGCCGCCGAATTTGGTCGGATTTTGATTGCCTGATTTTCAAGGTGCAATTGGCATCAATAGCTAGGTCTCGAGGAGCTCTATCCGTTGATGTAGGTATTGTAGGGTGGTAGTGGTTGGAGCTTCAAGAATTTGGGCAAAAAAGTGACGGAAAAGTTTTCTAGATCTATGATTCAAGGAGTTTGATGAGTTTTTTGAAGAATTTGGTTTTGAGATATGGAAAGAGGAGGTGTTGGAGATTACATGGTGAAATTTTAAGATGGTTTGGAGGTGGTCCGCCACCGGTGGGCGATTTTCGGCGGCGGTGGAGGGGCGGCGGTTATGGAGAAAGAGAGAGAGAAGAGAGAGGGAGGAGAAAATAATTATGGGAGAAATGGGGGCCATTTTTCAGATTTTTGAGGCTTTAAATACCTAGGCCAAGAGTGAATGAGATCCATTGGATCAAGATGGAATGGATGGGTAAGATTTGATCTTGTTTCATTTAGTGAAACGACGTAGTTTTGAGGCAAAACTACATAGTTTCAGACCCTTTCAATGGCAGCCCCTTATCTTGCACTCTTGGACAATTTTTCTTTCAAATTTAGCCCAATTTCTTCCTTATTCAAACTTACTAAACTAAATTTTATACAAACAAATAAAATAATTAAATAACTTATTCAAATGATCAATTAACTAGATTAATTCACCTATTGAACATTTAGTTAATTTCTAAAATGCGCAAATGAAGAAAAAATTATTTTTGGTATTTTTATGATCGGAAATACGCAATTAAACACACAAAATTGAAAAAATTATTAAATAATAAAAAACACTAATAAATTTAGGAGGTGTTAAAATAATGCAAAAATTAGGTATTCACAATCGGGCCTTGAGGAATATCGACCCCACAACGATCATATGGATCACGTGCTGCGGTTCTTCCTGTTCGTTTTTCCTATTTGCATCCTTGTCTCTAAAATGATTTTTAGCTCGATCACTCAGGAAATCTCGAAGATGAACTTCATTGAATAAACGTGCCACCTCCTCCCTTGACTACCTGCAGTCTTGAGTTCTGTGACCACGGGTTCCATGGTATTTGCACATTTGATTAGGGTTCCTTTGGGCTGGATCGGTCTGTTGGGATCTAGGCCACCTAGTATCCTTTATTTGTCCAATGGCTGATACAATACCCGATGCATCAACGCTGAAGTTGTACTCTGATAACCGTGGCGCTTCTTTAGGCTCGACATATTTATCGAAACCACCCTTACTCATGAGCCCCCGGGAGTTTTGACCTCAATTATTCCTTTGATCATTTCAAACGGGATTACGTCCCAGTCCGTTGTTTCTACGATCTGCGCTATATGGTTGGTACCAATCTCTGTTTGATCGGGTCTCTCTATCGATGTCTTTTTGAATCTTGCCTTCCGATTTATTCGGGTAAACGGAACCGGAAGGGGCTCCAACTGATCATCCTCGACTCTGACCTTTGACTGGTATCGATTATGCACATCGGCCCAGGTCACCGCTAGATATTCAATCAAATTATGCTTTAGTTGACGTGATGCTACCGAACTTTGCTCGTTAAAACCTTGAGTGAAGGCTTGGATAACCCAATCATCGGTAACATGGGGTAGGTCCATGCATTCCATATGAAACCGAGATACGAATTCTCTTAGCATTTCATTGTCCTTTTGTCTCACTTTGAAGAGGTCTGATTTCCCAGTTGCGACCTTTATTGCTCCATCCTGTGCCTTTACGAACGAATCAGCAAGCATGACGAATGAATTGATGGAATTAGGCAAAAAATTATGGTACCATATCATTTCCCTCTTCGATAAAGTTTCTCCAATTTTTTTCAACAGAACAAATTCAATTTCATCGTCTTCTAAGTCATTTCTTTTTATTGCGCATGTATAAGAAGTGACATGCTCATTAGGATCAGTGGTTCCATTATACTTGGAAATTTCTAGCATGCGGAATTTCTTCAGAATAGGTTTCGGAGCTGCACTTGGTGGGAAAGGCTTCTGTACGAACCTTTTCGAATTCGAACCCTTCCGAATCGGGGGTACCCCCGGTATTTGATCAACCCACGAGTTGTGAGTTTATACCTTTTTATCATTAGCCTCGATTTTCTTTTCTCCTGATTCAATCTGTTTAGTGAGCTCCTCGAGTATCTTCATGATGGCGGGGTCAGTTCCTGATCCATTATCGTTCAATTTCTTCTGTACAACCTTGATCCAATGAATAACTTTCTGTGATGTATAGAGTTCGATTCTGCTTGGTACTCGATTCTGATTTTGGAGTTGCGCTATCGCAGCCTGCCGAGTTTGTAACATGTCAAATATCATTCGAAGGCTAATCCCGCCTTCTTCACCACCCTGTGTGTTCTGATCGGCTGCCCGGGCATCTCTGCAGGGTCGGCGCCTAAATCTTCACTAATGGCTACACGAGAACTGACATCAACTGGATCTGCGGCCTGTGGTATGTCGGGATTGATTGGAGGTACTCCATTTCCCGGGGCGACTACGTGTTTGTTCTTGCCATGAAGACCAAGTCTCTTAACCTTGTGGTCGTGGGTTCGGGACCCACGGTGGGCACCAAACTGTTTACCCTAAAATTTGAATAACAAATAAACTTATATTGTGATTTTAAGGATATGTGATTTCACCTAATACCAATTGATAAACGTAAATATAAGCGATGCAAATTGACAATAATATAAAACAAACCAGCATTTGGACAGGGCCCTCGAGCTCAGACACCCTAAGAGCTAGTTATGAAAGAATAGTTAAAGGCACAATAAGATGATGAACAAGAAAGTAAGTTGAGAAATATTATATTCCTTTGATATTCCTTTGATATTATATTCCTTTGATATTCGTGAATGTAAGGTGTTTACAAGATGATTAGGACCCCCTTTATATAGTAGAGGAATCCTATTTAAGATACATGGAAGTAAATCCCATGATTAACTAGATAACCGTCCTTGATTTGATCTGTTCCGGGATTTACGCCATGATCTCCGGCCAATCACGGATATCTCGCCTTTCCGTTACTATGCCTTGCTCGAAGTCTGTCACGTTTGGTCTTGGTCGATGTTGGCCTCGATATCGGCAGACACCTCGATCCTAGAACTCGATGCCTCGTCTCCGTGCTCTAATCCGATTCATTACGAGGCAATCACTCGATGCAGTTCCCTTATCTCGATCAAATAGCATAATCGGGTAAGCCCGGTTTTAACCGTATAGAGTTTGAAAATACATTATTTGATGATACATTTTTTTGTTTTATTTTAAAAAGTCTAACATATAGGCTCAAACTGAAAGTTCAAAATAATCAAACTAATTAATCCGAGACAGAAATTAACCTCAATTATCGTAATAAACTATAGGTCTTAATTATATTTTCTGCAATTAACGCCAGCAAGTGGCTGTAGTTTAGTGGTGAGAATTCCACGTTGTGGCCGTGGAGACCTGGGCTCGAATCCCAGCAGCCACATCTACTTTTTATTTTTCAAGTTACCGCCTTCTGAGAAACGACGACGTATAATTACCAGTCACCCTCACCCACGTCAACGGTGGGTTAAATAGATCCAACGTCTCCCAAAAGAGAAGAAAATCGAGATCGTACCTGTTGGGCTTCTTCGAATTTTACACCAATTCTCCGTTTCGTCTTAGTATCACTGTAAGTTCTTTGTTCTTTTTTCATAGCAAATCAAATAATTTCATTATCTCTCGATCTATACTGCATTTTCCTGATGCTTGAATCCTTCTTTGTCCCCCCTCAAAATTCACCCAATTTCTATTGAGCATATTCTGAGATGCTATTTTTGTTGAATTTTTGTATTCCTTGATGATTTTTCGTTATATTTTGCAATTAATGCTTGATCTTTTGTTTCATGCTGTTTGGAGTGTTATTCCCGATTAAATTAATTTTTGGCGTCTCTGTTAGTTCCATAAGGAATGACATATAAATATCAAATGTGTGTGCGGAAAACGAAAATTGTTAAAAGGAAGTTTTCGTAATAATTGAATGAATTATGTAGAAGAAAAAGAACATAAATTGAAAGGGTAGAATCAGTAGACTATAAATCAAGGATTCTGAAGGGTATGAAAATAATGGCAAAATATGGTAAGATATTTCAAGAGCTGCAAATGTTGAGCTAGTCGTAGGGTTTGTTTTCTATGACGTAAAATAATGAAAAATGTTATTGGATGGAAATGTTAACAAGGGAGATAATTCCAAGATCATCTTCTGTTGTTTGTTTGACATGAAGTTTGGTGGTGTACGATTAGAATGTAGAGTTGTAAGGTTGGGTATGTTGTGGTGTTCAATGAGTTTCAACGAGTGAAAATAATGTCTAAATGTTGGTGAAGTGAGTGATTTAGTATGAGTGAAGAAATCTAAGGAGATACTGGCTTTATGCCCCTTAAAAAGATGGAAGCCTTTTCCCATTTTGGGTTGGTTATTGGCAATTCTACTTCATCAAAAAATATATAAGCTATTGAAGATAGCTAAAGCAATTTTGCCAAGAATAATTTCCTGATAATACCAGATCAATACTTGGTGATGTGTAAAAGGTCTTTGAACTTTACTTGCAGTTTTAGCTCAACTTGGAAACCTCGAATTGCTGGTATTTAGCATAAACTACGCTTTCTTAGCATGTGCAATCCCTTATGAGTCTGTGGGGATGGAGACATTTGGCCAAGATGGGTTTTCAATTTCTGGATTTCAGAGGAAATGTTTTCATCTTTCATCTGGAATGATCCTAATTAGGGGCTAAAAGAAAAGAAAGAAGAGGAAGATGTAGGGGGAGTATTAAATAGAGTACCTGTTTTAGGATTGATTGGAAAAGAGAAGAAAGGAAAGTGTAATGTGACACTAACACCCTAATGTAGTTTGTTCACGAGCCTAAAGTTTTTTTTAGACTATACAAACAGCTTCATTAAATGATGCTTCTGACTTTATTTGAAGGAAACTAAAGGAAAAGAAAGAAGAGGAGAAGAGGGAACTAAGCTTAACCTTTTGCTGCTGGATTGACTTTTTAGGAACAGAAAGTAAGGGAGAAGAAAGGAGAAGATAAGGCCATGTACCTAAAAAGAAAGAGCTGGCATGTGTGCGTTGACTCGAGCTTTGCAAGTCTCTGGCATTTGCCGGCATCTTAGCACTTGGGCACTCATATGCCGCTAGATAATACGCTGTTACGCTAATCATGGATATCTCTAGTCTTTTCTTTTCTCATTGTTCTCCATGTAAAATGAGTGCTTAGTGTGTTGGTGTGTTTGTTTTTTTGCCATTGTTTTCTATATTGCCTTTCTCATTTTGGTGCTTTATTCGGTTGCCTTTGGTGTCTGGTAGAGTCTGTTGAACAGCTTGGCTGACTAATTATCTAGCCATATAATGTCTTTTAGATTGTTAAAGAGCAGGTGTTATTTGGAGTGTGTGGCTGCATAAAACTTTTAAGTATGAATGCTGAGGATGGAGTTGTTAAGGATTTTAGATCGTGTCAAAGGAAAAGAAACTCAACAACAGTTGACATGATGTTTGAACTTAAATAAGAAGTAGATTAGAATAGATGGTCACTTTCTATTGACTATCCTTCTCTTTGTACTAATCCTTTTTCAGAGTTTTATTGTCTACATATAGAGCGACAAGTATGGTGGTTGATTTGTCTGATATTTTGGTTCTTTTGTCCATGAATGTTACAGATGATTGACGACCAGGACCTGGGCTTCTTCGCCAACTTTCTTGGTATCTTTATCTTTGTGCTGGTGGTTGCTTACCATTATGTGATGGCAGACCCAAAATATGAAGGCAATTGAAAGCTGTTTCTTTAGAGTTAGCTTCGGCAACCATACTTATGTTCTTTACCTTGGCATCTCTATATGTTAGATGAATGAACTTTGATGTGGCAGAAACATTTTCTACTGAACATGGAGTTGTATCTTGACTGCTTCTTGTCGAAAACTATTTATCAGTGTATGGATTCACAGGATTATCAAATGGAGTAAAGGATCTAAATCTTTTCCTTTTCTACCATTGTTTTAATGTCTTAGAAGTTTTTTCCTGTTAAAAGCAAAAGATATTGTTGTTTCTGTAATTTGCTTGTGTCGCTTTTTTCAGGTTAGCCTTGATCGAAAAACGTTTCTTACCCGAAGTCAGAGGTAGAGAAGATTCGGAATAACATGTTATCTTTGAATTTTAAGGGGAATTAAAATGGGAAAAGAAAAGCAAAATAACTATAGATGATAAAATGCTAAAACCCCTATTTTAGATCTACAGCCTTATGCTTTTTGGTTTTGAAGGTTATATAACTTGGCTCTGAAGGATTTGCTCCTAACTTACAGAAAACTTTGGTAATGTCTCTTTCTTTTTATGAACAAATTGGCTCACCCAGAGGATCTTCCCATCTCACCAAATCTTTTATCCCTCTGTCTATGTCTCTTACTTCCCTCTCCAAAAAGCTCATACAAAATTCTAAAGAACACAAAAAACCAACTATGGTTTCTCTAAGCTCTATACCTGCAATGTCCCTTACTTTACCACAAACCTCCCTTGAGTGTTCAAGGAAAGAACTTAGAACCATCTCCATCTCCTCATCATTTGTAGAAGAAATGATACACTCATTTGGACACGATGAATTCCCTTCTTCAAGGTCATTCAAGATATTCTGCTCTGGTTGGATTTGAGAAGCTTTTAACAGTCTGATAGAAATGGTTTTCTCAAAGCAGCTCACTGCAGAGCTTAGGGCATTCTTAAGATGCTGTAAGTCCTTGTTTATGTATTGTTGAAGTTCCTTTCTATCAGGATAATAGCTATCGAATGCTTGTGAGAGGAATTCAATATCATAAGCCATGAAAAACAGAACATCTGCCATTGTTGACAAAGATTTTTGGAGCTTCTGGTAGCAAGTAATTGGAAAAGGTGAAAACCAGAAACTAGGTTCCAACACTGCATCCTTAATGAACTTTTCCAAATCTTGGACTTGAGATTTCAGATTCCTTTGCTTTTCCATTAACCCCTTTTGCCTTGAATCAACAATCATGTGTTCAGTGCAATCTTTGAGTGTTCCTTGGATCAGATAGAGATGCTTTTTAACTAAAGTTGCTGAACTTGTTGGCTGCATAATAAGCTCAACAACGACGAAACAAGCTAGTCCAATGAAGGCTTCAGTGAGTCTATAAATGGCGAATTCACTAGGTGGACCATAACTCTTTCTGCCCAAAATCAGTAGTGAACCTATTACTGCTGCTGTTCCCCCTGCTTGAGTGAACATCCTACTATGCCTTAGAAATGTGGTGAAAATAATCCAAGGGAGGAGAGACAAGAACCTTATATGCGCGGCTTTTTGAAAAATAGTGCAGCCAAGTACACCATACACTGATCCTATGGCTGTTCCTTGTGCTCTAGCATTTGCTTCTGTGAAAATTGCTTGTTTTCCGGTAACAAAGCTGAGTGCTATTGTTAGGCCTGACCAATATCCATTCTCTGTATTAAATAGCAGACCAAGTAGCACGGCCAGCCCTAGTGAAAATGAACACTTAAACGCGAATATCACCATTCTTTCGTTGATCATTGGCACAGTCCAATTGATGCAGACTCGTTCATAGCACGATCTGTTATTACTTTCCATTGCATCTCCTGATCGTTGATCAGTTATAGGTATGATCGTATCAGAATCACTCGTGCACATTTTTAAACAGGATAAGAAGAAAAGTGCTGGCTGATCTAGTTTGGTTGGTAAAATTGGTTCATGGGGTAGACTAGAAGACCTTTTCTCAAACTCCCCTTCTGTCACTGCAAAAATGGATCTATCTTGCCCCATTTTTTCACCAAGAAACATGAGAACATTATGTGAGACTTTAAAGAGCTCTTCATCTATCATTCTAGTGAGGAAAGAAGGGTAAGAAGTTAAGGCCATTTCCATTCCTTTCATTGAAACTTCCATGTTTTGCAAACCATGTCCTGGATCTGTGTAGGGAATCAAGAATCTCAGCCAAGGTTTCTCCCATTGCAAACCTTCCTGCTCAAATTAGGAAGGTATTTTAGATTATGAACAAGAATGGGTTAATTTCACAAATGGTCAGTGAATTGTATCCACCATAACAATGAAGTCACAAACCTAACTGAACTTTACTCATTATAACAGTAACCTGACAAGATTCTTCCGCTAAAACAGTAAAGTCACCTTGATCGGTAGGTTTTGTCGTTATGGTTAGTACAGTTTGACGACTTTACCGTTACAAGGGAGAAATTCAAAAATAACCAGATTTACAAGTGGTCATTCAAAAATAGCCACAGTTTCAAAAGTCACCGAAATTTAGCCACTTTTCATGTAAAGATAAATCTGAACGAAAACACTGTTAAAAATCCGGCAAATACTCTAGCATAATATACTGGAGTTTGGAGTTCCACTATACTTTGCTGGAACTCCAGTATATTATACTAGAGCCGGCAAAGTATACCGGTCCAACATAATATGCTGGAAGTTCATGGACAGGTGCACCAAACTCCAGTATATTATGTTGGACCGGTCTCTGTTGCAGCAAAATAATGGCTATTTTTCAATGACTTGGCAAATGCTGGTTATTTTTGAATGAACAATCCGAAAACTGGCTAGCCCGTATTATTTTGACCGTTATAATGGGTAAGATTCAGCTACTTTAATGTGGTGACAAAAATATTTTTTTAAATTTTTATTATTATAATAGGTAAGTTTAGTAGTTTTACTATGTTATGCTGAATCTCCAAAATGTTGCCACACCCGTGTCGGATACTCCAAAAATACACCACTTTTGGAGGATCCGACATGAACTCGACAACATTTTCGGAGAGTCTGAGCAACATAGGTTTTACGATAATAGTGGTAAAGTTCAGTGGCAAAAACAATTTTATGACTTTACTATTATGGTGGATACAATTTAGTGATCATACGTGAAATTAATCCAAACAACTGATGAATTCAAAGCCTGAGAACTTTTTTAGGGATCTCATGAGCTTACCTCCAAGAATTTGATAGTCTCAAGAAGCTTAGTTCCTGTATCAGCAGAGGGCTTTGCCTGAGATATTAGTTCCATGGCTATCTGATCATCTTGAGTATGGATTGCTTTCAAATATAAATTTATTCTCTTTGAAGCATTTTCTGCATAGATTTTGTATAGGTTTCTCACCTGTTGACAATGTTATTCACAATATTAGCAATCATCACCTTGTATCATATTTTTAATCTAAATATGCAGTAGTAAATTAGCCTATGATCTTAGAAAACTACTTAGTTGTTTAATTACCAGACAATAAGTTGAAAAGGGAATTAATTTATCTCATCCATTCTCAGTAGGGGAAGGGGAGCCTTGGTGTAACTGATAAAGTTGTTGTCATGTAACTAGGAGGTCACGGGTTCGAGCCGTGAAAATAACCTCTTGCGGAAATGAAGGGTAAGACTGCATACAATATACCCTTGTAGTTCGGCTCTTCCCCGGACCTCCAGCATAGCGGAAGCTTAATGCACCAGACTGCCCATTCTCAGTAGATGCACAACTTAGATTTATTAACATCATTTTAACTTAGATTTATTAACATCATTTGCTTTGACACTTGAGATTTACTTGGACAGAAACATTCTAACACGAAGTATGGTCTAAGACTATGGTCCTACAGTATTTATTTTGCGATCTCAAGGAGCCGTCAAGGAGCCGTATGAGGTGAAAATCTAGCACGTTGTTCCATAATAGTAACAGGACAGAATGATGTTATAAATTCTATTATCAAAACATTGAATGAAGTAGGCAACAACTATATGTTACTGACCCTACATATTTATTCCCAAATGGTTAGAAAGGTATTTCTAATGTGGAAATTTAATTCCCCTTACGTTTATAATTTTGCTCAATCAGACTGGAAACATTTGTGATGTGTATGGACCATAGAAGAGAACCATACCAAGCACATAATCAATCAGTTTGCCATAGGAATAAGGGCACTTCTATCTACCACAAAGTAATGCACTATATATATATATATATATATATATATATATATGTCAAGTTGAACATCAATAATTTTACTGTTAGTTTCACGTTACGATTTTGTTCCTTTTCTGTTGCACTATACTTAAGAATTTGAAATTGAAAAAGAGGCTGGCAGTTGTGTTTGGACATAAATTTCACTTGGAAAAAGAGTTAAAAATTTTGTGAGTGAAACGACCATTATTTTACTCGAAATACAGCTCAAAGCAAGTTAATTTAATTTTTTCAACTTCAAGTTCTTCATTTCAAATTGAAATTTGAAATTAAAATAATTTATAAAGTTATAAAACAAATTTTGATTTGCAAATAATGTATGTCCATACGCCAAATGGACGTTTCCTAGAAGATCCAAATTACTATACTTCATCAGTGTCTTGATCGACCAGACTAAAGTTTACACTACACATCTTAAGAATTTTCTAGAGAAAAATATTACTAATACTTGACAAACTAAACCATTGAGCAAATTAAAAAATATACCTAAATGACGAATATACGGTTAAAACAAGTGATTTACTTGACTTTTCAACGTGAGCTGTAAACCTCGGTTACATCGAAGTATAAAAAGAAAAAACAAATTGAATGGTCATTATGGTACATATTAAAAGGAGTTTAAATTCTATGCGTTAGTGGTACGAAAAGTATTTACAAAATCGAGTCACATAATTATTGGTAATTTTACTTGACACTAGTATATATTGATTAATAACCTAAAAGAAATATTTAACATGTTAAATTACACTAATATTGTAAAAAAGTCACTATTTTATCGACTATCGATATATATAACTTAAATCCTATTAAGAATATCAGTTTTTATCAAATATCCATGTTTAAAAATGATCATTTTTCAATCAACCAAAATGGTCGTCGTACAAAATTAGATTTAGCAGTTTAAAAGGCTATACTAAAAGATAACCACATGTAACCGTCGAGAGAGAGTAGTATTTTGAAACTTGATTAAAGTTTGATGCATACCTCATGATAAGCTAGCCAGGGATAGGGCAACAACAGAGATAAGATAGAAGCCACAGCTCCAAGGGCAGTGCTAGAACCAATTCTAAGAGGGTGCAATACAGCCGAATTGACATAAACCCCATGAATAACAACATCAACATACACTATTACAAGCTGTCCAAAAGCAATTCTCTTACACATCAAGTCCGTACTCGCCGGCAACACCACCAAAAACGCGCTCACCGCCACCATTAAGGCGGCTACTTCCGGCGAGAAATCGTTGGTAGTGACATAGCCATGTAGCCATAAGCCTAGCATGGAAAGAGGCATGACTTGAATTGTGGCAAGACATGCATGCCAACATCCCCTTAAGGCATGGCCTAAAGTGGCATCGGATACTATGAAAATAGATGTAACGTAAGAAAATGAAGGAAATGCTAGTTGCTTCGCAAGTGAAGGTGGACTATATAGTGTGACACACCCCACTATGGTGCATGCTAAGGCGGTTCGAATGGCGGAGTGCAGCCTCATCCACCACATGGCACGTGCTCGTTTCGCCACCATGGTAGTTGCCATGATAGACGACTACTTTCTGCACGCCACTAAATGGCTAAGTAGAGGATTCCACCTATCAATCAACAAAGATGATTACTTTCTTTGCGCCACTAAACAACTATATGGACATTCATCTGCTGATAACAAGACGACTACTCTTTGCACGCTACTAAATGGCTATATGGAGGTGATTCACTTGCTAGCAACAAGATGACTACTTTCTCAGCGCCACTAAACAACTATATGGACATTCACCTGCTAATAACAAGACGACTACTCTTTGCACGCCACTAAATATGGTTGTATATGGACATATATGATTTACTTGCTAGCAACAAGATGACTACTTTCTCAGGGCCATTAAACAACTATATGGACATTCATCTGCTACCAACAAGACGACTATTCTCCTCACGTCACAATATATGGCTATATGGACATGCACGATAAATTTATGCAATGGTTCAGGAAGGTATTTTGTGAAATAACGAGAGGGAAAGAGGATGAATTTAAGTAATTATATAGCAGGCTCAGTAGTTTATTGAATAGAGAATGGTTTTGTAATTTTTGGTTAGTGACAAAGTAGAAGTGGTCCTCTAGGCTTGAGCAGGAGAAGTATTTATAGAAGCTAAACTGTCACACTCGTACATCTGGATATCCAAATTTTTAGCTCAGTTAAAGAGTAAAATATTGCTCACGGAATAAAGGGGAATAAATTAGTTCTAGCTAATTCTAAAAGAGTATCGGATGTTTAATTAACAACCTTGAGATGTAAGCATATGTTCCTCATCTTAAGGGAAATATTCATTTTAATTGTCTAAACTACTTAGGGTGTCTTTAATGGAATTGAAGGACAAAGAGTATAAGAAACAGTGAAGTTAAGCTTTTCGTTTATTCCTTTTTCTTAAATTGGTTAGTTATTTGGAGAGTATTGGCACTCCCCCCTCCCCCCTCCCCTTTTAAAACTAACGGTGATGTTTGGATCAAGCTGTACGTATGTCGACTATTGCACTCCTGAGTATCTGTTATCTTCCAGTAATACAGGTATCGAATAATACTATCGAGAAGATCAACTTCTGCACGAGCCTTAACTATTGCACTAGATACATGCGCTACCTTTCAGCAACACATGTACTAGATAACTTTAGGGAACAAGACTTGGGCAGATGGGAGAAAGTCCATTATAATTTTTGTGTCTACCTGGTTTATATGATTTAACTTTTAACCTACTTAATTGAGTACTAAACCATATCTTTGGATTCATCCAATAATTTGTCATTATTCCTTGTTTTATAGATTTTCAAATTCCCAAAAAATGATTAAAAATTTAATGTTGATTTATAAATAACAATAATATATGTCATTAATCACTAATAAGTATGTAGACCCTCATCAAAAATTGTGAGGCTCTGATGCCTACCCGTTTAGTGAGGGAACCTCTACACTTGTAAGCCTCTCACCTTGGCCGGTGGAGTTGAAGTAATAGAAAATTGTTCGATCACCTCGTTCAGGTTGCAACATAGTATTAATTAGACACTCTTATTTTAGATTTAGATCTGCAGTTATGTATATTAGTACTAATCCATATTATTTTACTAGATGCTTCAAAAACGTAAAAGAAAAACTCTCCTAATTAACTCCAGGTATCTTTGATATTGTTTAGTTAGTTTAAACCTTTTTGCTTACAAACAAGTATGTAGGAAAAGGTGGCATGTAATATTCATTCAACATCTAAACATTACTTAGGTACACGTGAGATCTAGTGCGAACCTTATAGATTAAATTAAATCCATTACTTTTGACTCAAATTACGTATAAATATGAGGGGGAAAAAGTTGAACATATCTATCTATCTATCTATCTATCTATCTATCTATCTATCTATCTATCTATCTCTCTCTCTCTCTCTCTCTCTATATATATATATATATATATATATACTAGTATTTATGAACGTGAGTCAGTAGCGGACCCAGAATTTTGTGCAAGCGGGTTCAGTCGGAGAAGTCCATAACTAACATAAGCGGTATAAGCGGATTCAACAATAGTTTCTATATAAAATTTACCTTGCTTTAGCCATAATTTATACATATACACAATATTATTTTTTGACGAAGCGGGTTCAGTTGAACCCACTTCTCACCACTTGGGTCCGCCCCTGACGTGCGTTGCACGTTAATAATGGTGCGGGATGATTTAAACATTTATTTATATGGATGAACCATAAAATTTAATTAATGAGAGAAATTTTATGTATACTAATACAGCAATCATCTAAATGCCGAAAAATATTATTACATTATCATAATATATAAATTTAAAATAAAAGGATATCATCAAAACTTACACAAATAATCAATTTTGTCATGTTAATTAGATAATTATATATTATAGTTTAAAAATATTTAATATGATGGTATCTTAACGAACACTTCTTTGTGGCAATATTTTTATTTGTATTTTTCCTCCTAACGTGTTGGTTGCTCCGCCTTAACCAGAACTCTTGTTGCTGATCTTGATATCCATCTTGAAAGTACAACATACAATTGTTCGTGCAATAAAACATATTGCGGTAAATATAGTCCAGTATTTAGGAAGTTTATCCTTATACTTTATTTGTTATATATGCAAAACATAAACATACTAAAAATTATTTGCACACAAATTTAAAAGGATATTTCTTAGTTTCAGAAGACGAAAGGTGAATTCAGGGATACGAATATACTTAGAAGCACATTAACCAGTATTATAATTTTTGCATGTATAACGTTATTGTCAAAACTTCTATATACCATATGTGTGTTATTACATAAGCTATTCGGCTTATCTAAGTTTTCAGTAGCATGACGACATATTTTTCCTTCAAAATTATCCTATATACAATAGATAATCAATTTTAACATAGTCTATTATATATACAGTGGCTCTAACATACATAAGAAATACGAAAGTTGACAACAAACATGTATGGTAGAATACCATTTGGTATTAAAGTATTTAAGTATTATTCTTGGTAGTAATTATTGGTATCATTTTCTGCTGAGTCAAAAACTGAAAACATTTTATTTTTACTATAAAATTTTGCAATCAACATTTTATTTAGTTGATCAACATATTTATTTCTGCTAGCTAAGATATCCTTTTAATTCTATCATGCGATTTGCACAAAATCTAATTATAGAATTATTTCTGTTATTAAATGCGCTACTATTACCATTGGAATTGATAACCAAATGTTAAGGAAGAACCAAATCATCTTTTATTGGATACTCTTCTTCGTTTCCGACACTAAGCAAGAAGACACTGAATACTGGATCTATTCTTACTTTATGTTTCTTGTCAGTTGAATCTTTTTTGTTTGAGGCTAGAAGTATAACTTTACCAAGCTAGCTTTTATAGTCTCAGCTTCTGTCGATTATGGAACTATTGATAGTACTTGACAGAGATCACCCCCCAAACCATTAATTTTTCACCAAACAGTTCATTAATATCCAATATATCTCTAGAACTATGGGCAGTTATAAATTGCTCTGCTTTAATATATTTGTGATGGTTATTTAAGTTGTTTGAAGAGGTATATCAAATCTAAAGTGGGTGGCCTCACAATAAAATCGTTGTTGGTATACCACTTGCTATTATTGCTAACAATGTCATGCCGTTTGATATGATATTTGCAAGTAATTCATGACGTAGAAATATTATTTCGATTCAGCCGGAGGCATTTACAAAGAATAATCATGTTATACCAGAGTCGACTCTTTATAATATAGACTTGAAAACTTGTTCTTGTTTAGGATTTAACTTTGATTGTGCTTCCTCATACACTTGTATAACATTTTGATTCTTAATAATATACTAACCTTTTTACTTTGTGTTCTAACGCTCTTTTTTATGGAATAAATTTATATAGCCTAAGATTTTTTTTAACTTAGAATAGGAATTTTACTCAAATGATAAACTTAAGAAATAATTGAATTGGATTCTTTGCTAAATAATTAATTAAAAGATTTAATTATTTTATTTTACCATAAAAGATAATTTATTCTATGTTGATTCAGATCTTAATATTAGTTCATCTCTTGTTTTGAATATTTAATATTAATTATAAGTTTATTCACCATAAATTTTATTTTTAAATAGTAAAAGATTGATATGACATTTCACTTTAGATCTTTATGTTTGTAAAATCATTAGTGGTATTGACTCTTACCAACCATTTTTTTTTCTCTTTCTCATACATTTATATTCTTAAATATTCTCTTAAGAGTCGTTTGGTATGAGGTATAAGAAGGTATAGTGCTGGTATAAAAATTTAATACCACCTTAATACTTCGTTTGGTTAGCAAATCAGGTATAAGTTATTCCAGGATTAAAATTAACACCGAAATAACTTATACCTTATAGAGAGTGGGGTAATTAGCACTGGTATAACTTATACATTCTTCTTATAAATTATGGAATTGCATATTTAATACAACATGCCAAACGGATAAAAAACAATCCCACCATACCCTATACCAGTATAACTTATCCCAGCATAAGCCGTATTCAAACCAAACCACCCCTTAGTTGTTGTTTAATAATTGGGTATTTTTTAATATTACATGGAAAATTGATTAAAAAATATTATTTGAGTAGGAAAATAGTTCGAATATAAAATAAATAATCGTGATGATATTTTTTTTTCTCAATTTTAACTCTTTATGCAGTCCATTTAATATTACTTTTATTTTTTCTTCATATTAGACATTATGTAGTGGTAATGTACTGCCAATACGAATGATTCTTACAAAAATTATTTTATTAAACCTTCGTAGATATTTTTAATGAGAATTTAATAGACAAAATTTTATTAATTTTAAAATCTTAAATATTAAAAATTAGCATAGAATGTATGTAGTCTAAAAAATAGGTTATTACAGTTATGTCCTTTCTTTGTGAGTTCTTCCATTTAATATTTTAGGGCTATTTTAATATATTAATATTGTATTATGATTTTATAATAATATAGGCTCTCATTTTTCTAAATGAATTTGGATAATGTAATACATTCTTAAATTAAATTAGTAATAGGACATTATAATACGTTTTCAAATTAAATTAATAATAGGAATGTTAAAGAAGTATATCCTAAAAGTAATAGGACTACATGACTAACGATATTTACTTGTTCAATTTTATATGAATTAAACAGCCCCAAAGTAATTATACTAATAAGCTTCCTAAAGGTAATCATGTAGGATTCCTAACACATAGTATTATATCATGATATAGGATTATAAGGATAATATCTAAAATTTCGGTTATGTTCTTTTATTATGAGCTATTATGCTTAATAATATAAGGTTATTTTTGTAAACCGACAATGTATTCATGCTTTTATCATAATATAGATATAGATAAATAGATTAAAAAAAATTATTGTTAGTGGACTTCAAAATTCTAATTTTTAGTAAAATTCTAAACGTATAATTTTATACAACATAGATTATCTCTTTGAAATAACATTTTAGCTTTCAAAAATTTAGTAGATAAAAATTGAGAAGAAGCAAAAGTTGGACGATTAATAT